TTTTGTTATGTATTTCTACACGGCCTGGTCCTTCAGTGTTAAGAGCTGCTAAAACAGGGGGAAGCAGGAATGAAGAGAGATGCCCAATTTAAAAGGTCGTAACATTAAGTCCTTTCTCTGTGATGCAATCCCAGCTCATTCATTGCCACACTTTCCATAGCAAATATACATAGCCAGAGGCTGTTATCAGCCACCAGCTTTCCTCCTTTTCTTGGGAGCAGGTAGGCCATTCGCTTAGAAAGAAAAAATGGAAAGAAGCACACAGGTGTTCGTATGGCTGTGCATTCATCCTTTGGCCTACAAAGAAAAAGAATCTCAAACATTTGAAGTCATAAAACTACACCAGGATTTGCTGGCGGATTCATTTATATTGGCTGGGGACGCACCAGGGTGTTCATGCACACGTGAGTTGCACAGGTCTAATTTTTGTGTGTGCGCTTTTGTACATACTTCTTCACACACAAGCCTCAGCCCAGTATACCTGAAGGAGTGTCTCCACCTCCATCGTTCTGCCCGGACACTGAGGTCCAGCGCCGAGGGCCTTCTGGCGGTTCCCTCACTGCGAGAAGCCAAGTTACAGGGAACCCGGCAGAGGGTCTTCTTGGTAGTGGCGCCCGCCCTGTGGAACGCCCTCCCACCAGATGCCAAAGAGAAAAACAACTACCAGATTTTTAGAAGACATCTGAAGGCAGTCCTGTTCAGGGAAGCTTTTAGTGTTTAACAGAGCATTGTATTTTAATATTTTGTTGGAAGCCACCCAGAGTGGCTGGGGAAACCCAGCCAGATGGGCGGGGTATAAGTTGTTGTTGTTGTTGTTGTTGTTGTTGTTGTTGTTGTTGTTGTTGTTGTTGTTGTTGTTGTTGTTATCCTTATTATTTCAGCTGAACTCTGTCTCAATGTTTCCTGTCCACACTAGTAGGCAGTGCTTGATGGGATATATTCGCTCTGTGTGGATGGCCTCTCCCTTCAATTTGTACATGAAGAATCTTAATCTCAGGGTCATGGGTTTGAGCCTCATCTTGAACAGAAGATTCCTACATTGCAGGGGGTGGGACTCAAGGACTTTCGTGGTCCCTTCCAACTCTGCAATTCTACAATTCTATGATTCTCCACCCTCCCTGAGTTCTGGAAACCTGAGCTCCATTGTGGGGATGCACAAAGGTATTTGTTGACCTGCACGCACCAAAAAAAAAATAATTTTTAATTTTTAAGATACACATTTTCTTATATACCAGACTTGCACAAAACTATGAGTTAGCAAACATACACATATGCCTCATGCCTTTCCCCACCAGAAGCCCATTGAGAAGCGCCTCCTTCATGTCTGCTGTAAAATTAAACAGTTCCTAAATTTCCCCAGCAGTACAATACTCTGTTTTGATTCAGGGAAAATGCGGTTTTATTCAAGACTGAAGCGGTTTCCAAAGGAAATTAAGTCTCGGTTGCCTGTAACAAAGGGTGCTATTCAACTAAGTTTTACTCACAGAAGACACACTGAAATTGATGAACATGGTTAAGTTGGGACCATTAATTTCAGTGGGCCTACTCTTGAGTAAAAAAAGTTGATTTCCTAGGGAGATTTCTGATCACTACAAGAGGGGACAGACCCACCGTAGTCCTTTACAGTATTGGCATTTCTAGAAACTGAATTTAAGTTTTTGCCACTCAATGCAAAACAGAATGCTTTGCCCAGAGAGATGCCAGGAACAGTCGGAACACCATATTATATTGGAGACTTCGGTCAATGATGGTTTTCAGCTTAAAACTGGAAGTTCAGGCCATGTGCTTGTATTTCCAGAGCATTTATATCTCGAAAAGAAAATACCATTCGCGTTTCTTTCCATGCTTGAGTATCTTAACAGTATCCCAAGTCTGCCATCTAGAGAACAAAGCATAGCACTAACAGTCACCAAGTTTGTTAGCATCCAACTGCCTTTGCAACAGTCCAACTTTATGCACACCTGTAAGAGGAAGCAGATACCTGTTGCCCTAGTCCAATGTCAGTGGAAGCAAGCAAATTATCTTGATCAATTTCAATAGGGGCTTTGAAGGTTTTACTACTTGCAAGAACAGAGCTCAAATGCCTAAGACAGGGGTCAGTAAACTTTTTCAGGAGGGAGCCGGTCCACTGTCCTTCAGACCTTGTGGTGGGCCAGACTGCATTTTGAGGGGGGAAATGAACAAATTCCTATGCCCCACAAATAACCCAGAGATGCATTTTAAATAAAAGCACACATTCTACTCATGTAAAAACATGCTGATTCCCAGACCATCCACGGGCTGGATTTAGAAGACGATTGGGCCGGATCCGGCCTAAGACATGGGCAGGCAAACTAAGGCCCGGGGGCCGGATCTGGCCCCATCGCCTTCTAAATCCGGTCTGCAGACGATCCGGGAATCAGTGTTTTTTTACATGAGTAGAACGTGTGCTTTTATTTAAAATGCATCTCTGGGTTATTTGTGGGGCATAGGAATTCATTCTTTTTCCCCTTCTTCAAAATATAGTCTGGCCCCCCACAAGGTCTGAGGGACAGTAGACCGGCCCCCTGCTGAAAGTTTGCTGACCCCTGGTAAGCGATCCTCAGCATCACTTGGTAGTAAATGTGACCTTCCTCAGAAAGGCATATAGAGGCCTATATATTGTTGAAATACCTAGGGAATGTTATGTGACGCATCTCAGCTCATGTCTACAGAACACATGACCCACCTTTCCATTCCTCCTACTCCTCACTGGAAGACAGATTTTGCCAAGGCAACACCTTTGCCCCATAAGAGTATATTACCCCATTAGCTGAGACTGGGGAAAGTTAACACTGTTCGATAGCCAAAAAATCCCCAGCTTTCAATTTGCTGCTTACGAGTGCAAATAAATGGGGATTTGCGTATCAGTTTATAGCAAAATTCACAGGGATGAGAAACTCCTGCCCCTTACTTACAAGCGACAACGTTCCCATTGAGCCAATTCATTTTGTTCCGCATTTTTTCAAAACTCAGGAACTAGCCGGCTACAGCAGTTTCCTGGTATTCAAAGTGTTTTGTTATTATTTGTTGTTAGAGAGCCAGTGTGGTGTAGTGGTTAAGAGCGGTAGTCTCGTAATCTGGGGAACCGGGTTCGCGTCTCCGCTCCTCCACATGCAGCTGCTGGGTGACCTTGGGCCGGTCACACTTCTTTGAAGTCTCTCAGCCCCACTTACCTCACAGAGTGTTTGTTGTGGGGGAGGAAGGGAAAGGAGATTGTTAGCCGCATTGAGACTCCTTAAAAGGGAGTGAAAGGCGGGATATCAAATCCAAACTCTTATTGTGAAGTTTCTTACAAGTTCAGATCTGGAACTGAAACCTACCATAGGTTCCAATTTTGTCCCAGGAAACAGGGAGCAAGAAACAGCTAGTTCTAAAAACTGTTAAAAGCATTCGTTTATATTGTGTGGGTTTTTTTGTTGGCAGCTGCTTGGTATTTAGTTGGCTGTCTTCGCTCTTCTTTGTACTGTCTGTTCTGCTAAGTACAGATGGCATTTGCTTTTTGTTTCTGTAGCTTCTCCTCCTCAATGATGACTCATGCTGGTTCCTTCCATGCGCCAGCCTGTTGCCTGGTAGCAAAGGAGCCTATGATACAATTCAGTGCAATAGGTCACCTTGACACCTGTTGGCAGTCTACCTAGCAACAGCTTCCCAGCAGCGTTGCCATTTAGCAGACAGTACCAGTCTCTTTATGGGATGCGGGTGGCGCTGTGGGTAAAAGCCTCAGCGCCTAGGGCTTGCCGATCGAAAGGTTGGCGGTTCGAATCCCCGCGGCGGGGTGCGCTCCCGTTGCTCGGTCCCAGCGCCTGCCAACCTAGCAGTTCGAAAGCACCACCAGGTGCAAGTAGATAAATAGGGACCGCTTACTAGCGGGAAGGTAAACGGTGTTTCCGTGTGCTGCGCTGGCTCGCCAGATGCAGCTTTGTCACGCTGGCCACGTGACCCGGAAGTGTCTCCGGACAGCGCTGGCCCCCGGCCTCTTAAGTGAGATGGGCGCACAACCCCAGAGTCTGTCAAGACTGGCCCGTACGGGCAGGGGTACCTTTACCTTTACCAGTCTCTTTATGACCTAGGGAGTCTTTCATGTGGGTTATTTTGCTGCCCATGCAAAGAGCAATCCCCTCTCTTCCCTTCTGTGGTATAGGCAGCTACCTAGCTCCTATCAGGCCAGTTCACTTACACACAGAGCAAGAAACAAACTATTCTTATCTCTCCCCCCCCCCAGGGCGTAGCAAATGTACAAGCAAGGAGCCAATGTATCTTCGAGTAGCAGCAGCAGCAATAATAATAATTTTATTATTTATACCCCAGCCATCTGGCTAGGTTTCCCCAGACGTTTCTGATAGGCAGCTAGGTGATGGCAGTAGAGCATTTTCAGCAGCTTCCTGGGCAACTATTCTCCCTGTGGCAAGAGCGGAGTCTTGTGTAGCTGGAGACTTCCACCCTGCCATGGCCAGAAACAGGAATTCTGCCCAAATTACAAGGACTAGAAAGCCAACACAGCCCAACTCACTTTGCAAAGTAGGGGCAGAATCTAGGACCCCTCCCATCTTTTTATTTGGCATTCACAAAACCTACCGGGTGTTTAGACTATGCCTGCCCTTCATTGGGCCTTTGTTCTTGTTTGATTACAGGGTGGCTCTAAAATAATGAGAATACACCCCGATTTGCTGGCAGGACCATTAAGTGTCTTCCCATTAGTCATGTGCTCATCCTGCACTCCACTGCATTTCCCAATCACTTTCCTAACCTGCAGGCTTTTTATTATTATTATTAATTATTAAAGCAGGCTTGTTCATGCTAGGACTAGGGAGAACTTTAATCCACATTAACTGTGCAAACTTGGAATGTGCTTGAATCCCACCAGCAAAATAGTGACAGTAGGAAGACACCCCCTAACTAATATCTTGCTTTCTAAGTAGATCACCTTCCAACACCGGAGACGAAGAGGGCCGTGCAAACAAAACAAAACAAAAACCTTCTGCTTTGGAATACCAAGAAGAGATTTATTTTTGTGATTGACAAGAAGTCACAACAGCTTAAAAAGAAACTTTGGAGGCACACGTCCAAGGAAGCCCTATGAAGCATTTAAACAAGTTGCAGTCAAGAAGGGACCCAACATATCTGAAGTGCCAAAGACTTGGAGCTAAACTTTTAAGACCAGCTCTGCTGAAGCTGCTGTGAGTAAGTAGTGAGGGGGGCGGGCGGGGAATGAGGCTAGGATCAGCAGGACACTTTAAACGGAAGATCAAGAACAGCAGTGCTTTTGTTTTTTAAACACAAGTACTAAAGCACTAGGGGCCTGGATTGCTTTCTGTGAGGGCCTACTATGGGGTCGCTCTAACTCCTGAACTTCAGGCAGACTTGCTCAGCGCCACAGCAGAAAAGCGGACCTCTCCTTGCTCACGTTCTGTGAACTGCCGGCAGACCTTGGCAGCAGCCTGAAAAACAAAACACACAGGTAGTTATCCTACTATTCTAAATGCATGAACGCAGAGCCTCAGTAGACCTGGCATCAAGTCGACCACATCCATTAACAGTGTGGGCTCACATTGTAGTTTTAGCCAGCCATTATGTAGACAATCAGCATCTATACTTCTCCCCACTGAAGTTGTGAGCAAGGAGTAGCTATAAACAGTGTTCTGATAGGATGCTGGGAAGAGCAGAAGCCATCTCGCTAGCTCCTCTTGAGAGCTCCTGTCTCTAGGCACTATGTCTTGCTCATCCCCATGTGGTTAGAGATTGAGAAATACACAAGAGCAAAATCTGGGATGCGCCAAGTAAGGCATGACAACACGTGCAGTGCAATCTAAAAGACTTGATCATGTCAGAACTTTCAATTATAAGAACACTTACCTTCAGCATGGTGTCATCCGAACTCGCTCCGTGATTTACAGGAAAAGGCATTCGTCCATCTGCAACCAAGTTGTAGATCAGGTTTATGACTTAACCACTTACTTAAAGTATGCTAAAGGTAAAGGTAAAGGGACCCCTGACCGTTAGGTCGTCACGGACTACTCTGGGGTTGCAGCACTCATCTCCCTTTACTGGCCGAGGGAGCCGGCGTACAGCTTCCGGGTCATGTGGCCAGCATGACTAAGCCACTTCTAGCGAACCAGAGCAGCACACGGAAACACCGTTTACTTTCCCACCGGAGTGGTACCTGTTTATCTACTTTGATGTGCTTTCGAACTGCTAGGTTGGCAGGAGCAGGGACTGAGCAATGGGAGCTCATCCCATTGTGGGGATTCGAACTGCCAAGCAGAACATCGCTAGTATAGGAAGAAGCAACTTAGGCCATGCCCTTGTGGGGCTGCATTTACTTGCTTCTGGACCTACTTTGCAGTAGCGTTGCAATGCTGGACCTCATCCCCTGGTTTTCTGCTTGCAACCCAAGCGGCTCCAGATGTCTCAGAAGCAGAACAGATTTACTGCAACAATTTATATACAGTCTCTCTGCCCCTCCCAACCTGCCACCCTCAGGATGTTCTGGATTCTAACCACTGGCCATGCTGGAGCTAGGTCCCAATAACTTCTGCAAGGGGCCAAGTTAGCAAAAGGCCCAATTTAAGGTTTAGTATTAGATTCTCACCCTACCCAGTGCCGCCTTCTTGAAATTCTTGCTATTGCAACTTTGCTCTCGACAAAGATCAGTACCCCGGTGAAAGCGGTGGGACATGTTTGGGGGAATGCAACAAACCGCTACAGACAAACCAACCCCTGAATTCCAATGGGAATCCTTGCCGATGTTGTGCTCATCTTCTAGGTAAGCCACAGGCTGTTTCTAGATAATGTGAGCAGAAGCTGGCCACCCCAATTCAACTCTCCTCCCCACCCTGACCCAAGAGAATCCCAGTTTGTTTTACTCGGTGTTATACTGGGGGAGGCAGCACACAAACCTACCCAGTTCATAGAGGTGTCCATCCACACTGGCAAAGAGAATGAAATGGAAGTTGACTTTGTCATCTTCAACCTATGGAGAAGTATGCACAGGATGATCAACAAAGAAGAATATTTTAGCGACACACTGCTTCCTGATTCTGCCCTTTTTGGTTCTCATAAATAACCTCTCTAACAACCACCACCCCCTTCCTTATGTTCCAAATATATACAAAGAGACCACTACTGCCTTTGTCATCTGGCGCTGCACAGCAAAAAAGGGTCACTGGGCTGACAAACCATAGGATTTCTCCAGGATTACAGAATCCCAGACCTGCTGGCCAGTGTCTAAGTAGGAGTTGTAGATTATTTTTCTATTGCTGGTTTTGCTACCAGGAAGAGGACAGCCAGAGATTTTATTTTGGCTATTTGTATACTGCAGAATTACCAAAGTTTTCCCGTGTTCTAAAAACATGTGGAGGGAAGGTATCTCTCAGGGACCATAGCAATGAAATATTATTGTTGTTATTGCTAAATAATGTCCATAATGGAGAACACCTTAAGCAGCCTGAGGGTTTCAGGCACCAGTAGCCTCACGAAGCAATTTACCCAAATGACCCAATTAATAACACAGATGTGGGAACCATCTGCGAGTCCTCTAACACACATCTTGAAAAATGCTGGCTGCTGTGGCATATTCTACTCCAAGCACCAAGATTTAGATGCACACCAACAAGCAAGCTTTGCCTATGCTGTCAGCCTTTCTGGGAAGACCACCTATTTTAGAAGCCAAGCTATTTAAAAGGACTATGGTTTTCCCAGTAGTGAAGTATGGAAGTGAGAGCTGGACCATAAAGAAGGCTGATCGCCGAAGAATTGATGCTTTTGGATTATGGTGCTGGAGGAGACTCTTGAGAGTCCCATGGACTGCAAGAAGATCAAACCTCTCCATTCTTAAGGAAATCAGCCCTGAGTGCTCACTGGAAGGACAGATCCTGAAGCTGAGGCTCCAATACTTTGGCCACCTCATGAGAAGAGAAGACTCCCTGGAAAAGACCCTGATGTTGGGAAAGGTGGAGGGCACAAGGAGAAGGGGACGACAGAGGACAAGATGGTTGGACTGTGTTCTTGAAGCTACCAGCATGAGTTTGACCAAACTGCGGGAGGCAGTGGAAGACAGGGGTGCCTGGCGTGCTCTGGTCCATGGGGTCACGAAGAGTCGGACACAACTAAACAACAACAAAGTGCTGGGTGGAGATGGAGATTTCTGTGAAAATACCGGTGAGGGAAAGCCAAAACACTTCCACTTCAATAAGTCCACGATGTGTGGAGTGTTAAAAGCATCACTCTCAGAGCTTGGACTGTGCCAGAAAGCAGTTTTGCCCTAACAGCTTCACTGGCCCACATATCCCATCCATCTTCACCATTTGAGGTAGGGAGAGAAGAGTTACATGGGCCTGTACTATTATACCCTACTACCTGTCGCCAGTTCTTGGTACCAACGTTTTGCCTTTGGAAGCCTATTTAAGTTCAAGAGAAATTTACCCGACATTGGCCTTCCTGTGCTACTGCATTGTGGGCTTCTTGAATGGCCTGCAGAGGATGGTAAAAAAAAAGGCATTTTTTTAAAAAAACAAAAACCCTGAAGTGGGCACCATTAAGAAGCTTGCACCCAAGTTCCCATGTCGTTTACCTTGTTGTTTTCAAGACGTTTTGCCCTCTCATCAGGAGAGAGGTCAGCTGTTGCAGTGAGGAACTCCTTTAGTGCAGACCCTTCATCTGCCAAGAAATAAAAATCAGGGAGATGGCAGAGCACAGGATGGTGAACCAACTGCAAGTGCAAGCCTTAGGTTGTCCAATGAATCAATTTCCACCCTGCTTAAGTCAGCAGTTGCACAGGTTAGAGCCAATACCATCTCCTACCAATGGGTTTGTATCCCTTGGATGACGCTTCCCCCATACTTACCAAATAAAATTTTATCTTGGTTGTTGGCCACTGCGTGTAGAAGGCCAATTGTTCCACAGGAATTACTGGCCGTCTGCTTCACAAAATAGACTTTGGAGCTCACTTCTTGGCCCTTCAATTCTTCCATCTGCTTTTTTCTGAAATTTTCATGCTACAAATGTGCAGGTGTATTGGTCAGGTAACATTTTATTTCTTTTCCATACAACTTATATACTGCTTGATTTTTAAAAAAATAAATAAATCTCAAAGCAAGTACAGTGGCACCTTGGCTCTCAAACACCTTGGTTTCCAAACACTGAAAACCTGGAAGTGTTCCAGTTTTCAAACATTTTTCGGAAGCCGAACGTCCAATGCGGCTGCTGGCTATTGTTTACGGAGCTCCTGCACCAATCAGAAGCTGTGCCTTGGTTTTCAAAAATTGACTTCCAGAACGGATTAAGTTTGGCGCTTTTGTTTTTGCTATTTGATTTGCGTTTTTTGTGGCTTTTTTGGTTAATTTGCTTTTGTGACTGTGTGGAACCCAGTTCAGCTACTGATTGTGTGGCTGTGGAAATGGATTAAAGCCCCCCGTGAAAACTGAGTATCGTCAGTGCAAGTAAGAATTTTTTTTAATTTTTATAATCCACAATAATGTCTTATTTATTTTATAGTACAGTACATTGATTTTTGCTTTCAATTTATGGATCAATGGTCTCGTTGGGATAGTAAAATTCATGTTAAATTGCTGTTTTAGGGGTTGTTTGGAACAGATTAATCTGTTCCAAACAACCCGTTTGTTCCAGTTTTGCATTACTTTCTATGGGAAAGCATGCCTTGGTTTTGGAACGCTTTGGTTTTGGAACGGACTTTTGGAATGGATTAAGTCTGATAACCAAGGTATCATTGTAAAAACAGTTAAACAACTAAAGCATTCAAATATTTTAGCAACAAGCTAAAAACAATTAAAACACATGTAAAAACAATTAAAACACTACATAACTGGGCAGGCTTGTCTAAAGAAAGATGTTTTCAGTAGGTGCTGAAATAGATTACAGGGAAGACACTCTGCCAGTTCCAGAGATTAAAGATGTTGAATGGACATTTTATGGGGTACGGTGATCTTGCAGGCAAACTAGTCCCAAACTGTTAAGGGCTCAAAGCATTTCTTGACCAATGATAAGAAACTTTCAGCAGGGGTTCTCAACAGAAATTTCCCAATTCGAATCTGATCTTGTAAATTCTAAAAGAAAAACTCTTTCCAAAACTTATCAACTCCTCCTTGACTGGACAAGGAGGAGGAGGTAACAGAGGCAATGGTGAGGTGGTCCCAGGATTTTGGCCATTCAATAACCATGGCCCAATGGGAAAACTTATGGACGATCAATTGGAAATTCACAAATTGTTATACGAACTTCCAAAAAATGCAACACCGATGGTACCTAACACCAAGGAAACTTTTGAAAATGTATAAAAATGTGTCAAGTAATTGTTGAAGATGCGGAGATAACTCAGGAAGTTTCTACCAAAAAAAAAAAAAAAAAAGATAATAAACTTTCAGCAATCAGATGTTTTGCTTGCACTTGTTTTTATAAATGCATGTGAAGCCACAGCGTGCTTTAACAATTAAAATAATAATAATAATAATCACAAGTCAGACAAGAGCCCAAAGTGAGGCTGCTTCAAAATTCTCAAGCATTTAACAAGTGATGCATGCTATCTAGCTTATTACAAATGGTTTGTGGCCAATACCTACCACAGAAAAATCATACAATCCAATGGAACCAGTTCAGGAAAAGCAATTGAAGTTTGCTTCAAATGAGCTACCACTGGCATCATAACTTGGCCAAGTCATTATGTACATTAACCATTAATTCCCGTAAAGACTTCTAGTGCAATGCAGTTTCATAAAAGTATTCATGAGCCCTGCTTACAGCCCACAGGCAAAGATTTCCAACTATCATGGCGTCACTTCCTAAATATGAAACTGCTTCAAGTAAATCTCCATAGATCACCAGCCAGGGCAGATTTCCATGTCCCAGGTTGAAAGAGCAGTGTCCCATTTTTCTGGGTAGAACTCTGGGTCTCTTGAATGAGATACATTTCATGTTTCAGCCTTTAAACTGCAGTTGGGAATACCTTAATTCTGATACCCTGCCCAATCATGTGCATTCCCTGTACATACATTGGCATGCATTCCTTACATGTAGACTCTGCTTGGAATATACTGCTCAAAATAGCTACAAAATAGGAGGGTAGGACTCAAACCAATGGCTTCAAGTTGCAAGAAAGGAGCTTCTGACTAAACATTTGGATAAACATTCTGACAGTAAGAGCTGTTCAACAGTGGAATAGGCTCCCTCAGGAGGTTGTGGACTTTCCTTCCTTGGAGGTTTTTAAGCAGAGGCTGGATGGCCATCTGTCATGGATGCTTTAGCTGAGATTCCTGCATTGCAGGGGGCTGGACTATATGACCCTCGGGGTCCCTTCCAACTCTTTAAGATTCCATGATTCTATATCAAATACCTTCACCTTCCAAGACCATTTTACAAGAGAAGAAAAAACCCTCAAGAGGTGCACAATAACCAGAAGAAGAACAAGGGAATAATGAACTCAAAACAGACATGCAGAGAACAAAGTAGATACAGTAGTACCTCAGGTTAAGTACTTAATTCGTTCCAGAGGTCCGTTCATAACCTGAAACTATTCTTAACCTGAAGCACCACTTTAGCTAATAGGGCCTCCTGCTGCCCGCCGCACCGCCAGAGCATGATTTCTTTTCTTATCCTGAAGCAAAGTTCTTAACCTGAAGCACTATTTTTGGGTTAGCAGAATCTGTAACCTGAAGCGTATGTAACCTGAAGTGTATGTAACCCGAGGTACCACTGTACAAATATCCAAAGCCGGCCCTTTAACAATCCCATCAGTAGTAAGAATCCCACAGCACAGGATTCTAGATGCAGCTGTTGCTGGAAAGGTAGATTCCTCAACGGACTTTTAGTCCTTCCCATAATCATTCTCTTCAAGAATGACGATGCTTTTTTCATCCGACCCTCAGAATTCTTTACTTAGAGAAGCTCTTTCATTACAAATCCACCTGTTCCAGTTTTTCCTACCAAGATGAAGTCATCGTGAGCAACGCTGCGTTTCTAGAGATGGCCACAGCCAATCCAGACACATCACAAGAGATCTAATTTTAATGACTGCTCCTTGTTTTCAGAGGCCTCAAACCTTCATGTTAGAAAGCTGCCGATTCATAGTGGCAGCCGCTGCATAGGCGTCCAGAGTTATTTAAGTTGCAATGAGGGTTCACGATTTGCAGGACAGTAAAGGAGGAGACAGATCAACAGTCCTAGACCATGTTTGTATAAGGGAGTTTTGGAGAGCAGGCAGAGCGACCCAAACCTTGATCTGCTGCACTGAAAGCACAAGCTAAGTGCCGCTTGTGCCCGAAAGCTCAGACAAGCAGGCACCAGTGCTAGCAGTCATTCCCCAAAATGGGACATTTCAGGGGGCCGAGTTGGGATAGCTAAGAATCTGCTGGATCCTAAGCCTATTAGCTGCAGGAATCCTACAGGACATGGCAAAACAGCAGACTTTTCCTGGCCACAAGGCCTGGTTCTGTGCTCAGCATCCCAATTCAAAACATTAACCCTGCACATTCACTATCACAGTTTAGGATTATTACCATCCTTTGCACGCCAACAGCATAATATAGAAAGCAGAGAGATTTTCCAGAGTTCTTTGCCTGCCAAGCAGCAGGTTTCACCTCCCTGCCCCTGCTCGGCTTCAATTACTCACCTGAGCAGTAAGGGGAAAGAGTAACAGCAGAGCGCAAGCTGGGGTGGGTACAGCATTCAAGACATCCTCCTCAAACCCCAGCACATCCACAAACCTCCAGCCAGGGGCAACTCCGAGGCGGGACAGCACCTGCCGGGTTAAGGGAGGCACAAAACCAGGGAGAGAATCAACCTCAACATGACACCCTAGCGCTCTACATCATGAATCTGGAGTAGAAAAAAACCATTCCCTTGTCCCTGTACACTCAGGTTAGTCCTGGCACCCTGAAGATATTTCTGGACTCCAGCTCCTATCATCCAAAAACCCATTGGCTAGGGATGGGGGCTGCCGCCCATCATCTCCTTAAAGGTAACACGTTAGTTATTAAAAGTTGCATTTTGTCAGTAGTGAAAAGCTCCCCCCCCCCAAGTAATCATCACTTTAGGTATGCTAAGAAGGGCGGTCAGTGCACATTAAGCAAGACTGTTGTTGTATCTGGAGAGGGGAGGAGACATTAGAGCTGTGGTTCCCCACATGGGGTACACGCCTCACAGGGGGGCAATTGGGGGGGGGGATTTGAGAACGAGTTATTAACAGTGAATGGCTCTTTAGGCTTCCTCCACGTGAATAGTTCACTTTTTGAAGCGAGGTTACAGAGAACCAGACAGAGGGCCTTCTTGGTAGTGGCGCCCACCCTGTGGAACACCCTCCCTTCAGATGCGAAGGAAATATGCAGCTATCCTATCTTTAAAAGACATCTGAAGGCAGCCCTGCTTAGGGAAGTTTTTAATATTTAATGCTGTACTGTTTTTAACACTTGACTGGGAGCCGCCCAGAGTGGCTGGGGAAACTCAGCCAGATGGGCGGGCTATAAATAATAAATTATTATTATTATTATTATTATTATTATTATTATTATTATTATTATTCAGTGAGTGAGTCAGGATTTTAGAGATGCTTAGGTGGGGCATGGCCAAAAAATTGTTGGAAACCACTGCATTAGAGGCATCTATGGCTCAGCCCCAAGATCCTGTTTCCACATCTCGACTTCTATTCTACAATAGGTGTTGCTGCATCCCTGACGACGTGGAGCACCTGAGCATACGCAGAGTGCCTCAGCCGTTTCCTAAAGGCTTGGAAGGCCGGTCACTGATAGCAAATGAAAAGCTGACATTTCGGTACAGTACACCAGGCCAACTACATTTACGTAAACCACCAAAGCTGCCCCATTCCAGAGGAATACTAAATAGGATCCAGGAATAGCACCCGCAAGACGAGGTCTCCAAATAAACCCTCCAGATTCAGAGATGCCCCTTGGACCTTCTGCATGGCTTATAATGGAATCGGGCTCAAAGTCTGCAGGGAAGTGGGGAGAGGAAGGGGCTCAGAGGCAGGAGGGGGGGTCTCTTCTCCCAACCCTCTTCCTAAGAGCCCCTTGCCCTGCCGTGACACAGCACAAAACGCAGGGCCGCAGCGCCACCTGCCGCCCGTTCCACAAACAACCCGCCCATCATGACTCGATTCGGGAGCCCCCGGCCCAACCTGTTTCCCCTTCCCGTTGGCCTAAATACACCCACGGGCAACATCGGTACGGATCCAGAATGAGAGTTATGCATCTATTTATGCTCTAGGGTTCCAGGCGTTCCTGCCTCCCGATGACTTAAGTGAATGAATGAATTGAAACGGAGACTTAAGGAAACGCCCAGGCCAGAGGAGCTGCGCCTTATTCCTTCCCAGGTCTCGGCGGCCACTCACTTTGTTCAGCATCTGAAAGACAAAAGCGGGAGAAAGATGAAGGGAAGGAGGTTAGCCTGTCTCTGGGCGGGGCCCGCCTCCCATCTTGTGTCTGGATCGCGGAATCGGCGAAGAGGAGGGGACCTGGGCGCCGTCGGATGTCTGCATTTGGGGAATCCCGGGGGAGAGGGTGGAGAAGGAAAAGAGGACCCTTTGCGACCGCTTCCATTCCGATTTTATTTTTTAAGGCCGGGCAGACTGCTGGCCGCCTTTACCCCTCCCCTCTAGGGCATCTCAACATCGCCAGGGGTAAGAAACTGCATGCGCCTGGAGAAGCCAGCCATCTACAGTGGTACCTCGGGTTACAGACTCCGCTAACCCAGAAATAGTACCTCGGGTTAAGAACTTTGCTTCAGGATGAGAACAGAAATCGTGCTCCGGCGGCAGCAGAAGGCCCCATTAGCTAAAGTGGTGCATCAGGTTAAGAACAGTTTCAGGTTAAAAACGGACCTCCGGAACGAATTAAATACTTAACCCGGGGTACCACTGTATAGGGCACGCCTTGGGGCGGGGGAACCCCCCCCCCACTCTCCATCATGCATGCATGCTTCCCCCCAACCCATCTAGCCCTAGATTTCCCCTTCACCTCCGGGTTGATCTCCATGGGCTGCCACGCCATTGTCTCGATCTCGCAAACCTGCCCGGCCGAACTGCGCCCAAACCTGCAAGGAACCGTGCGCCCCGAAAAAAACACACACACGCCTGCCTCCCGCCCACCGCTCTATATATATCGCCACCGGGCGGACTCACTGCAAGGCAGGAGGAGGGGGGGAGGAAGGAGCTGGGGCAAGAGGCGAGCCCAGAGAAAGACGCTTCCCCGCCACTTGCAGCAATGGTACGCTCCTCGCCCTCTTTCCCCACCCCCACCCCACCCCCAGCTCCCCAAGGTGCGCAAACCAGCCGCGAGTGGGAGATAGGCGTGGTCGCGCGCCCCTCCCCGGGGTTTAGTACAATCCTCAGGTCGCCTGATCTCGCTGGCTCGGGGTTGCCTGCAAAAAAATGCACGCGGGGCTTTGGTCGAGGCTGGAACCCTTGCAAATGGACGGGCGTTTGCAAGCGCTGGTGCAAAGGCGAGCCTTTAGCAATGCGAACGAGCTGCATTATTCTCCGACGTCGCAATCCAGCAACCGGGGAAAGTGATCTTTTCCCCCCGCTACTGTTTGCAAGGGGCGAGGAGGGTGGGATTGTCCGGAGATGCGCCCACTTTGAATCGCGCGCTAGCAAATAATACATTTCTTTTTTGCTTGTTTCCCCGGACGCCTAGCATGCTCTGCCAAGTCGCTGTTGCAAATTCGGCTTGCTATTCCTTGGGGATAAAAGGTTTATTTTGCTTTGCAGGGATCCTGTTTCTTTTAACAGGTGTGTGACGAGCGGAAATTCAAGAGGGTGGGGCTTTGATCTCATCTATGAGTAAAAGCCTGACCTGTCTAAATTTTTGCTTTTTTTTCCTCCAGAGAATCTGGTGAACTGCAGCTCGTTTTATTGCTGTTTAAATTGCAACGTTGCCTTCAATCCCGATGAAAAAAGCATTGCATTTTGCTGTTTTGCCTTTCTCACTAAAACATGACTTGGCAGAATTGACATTGTTCAGAAACGGTAGTTAATTCAAGCCTCACAGGCCTTGCTCTCATGTGTTGCTGAAGTTACTTAGGGTAAACAAAGGACCTTTCCTCACACTTTAGAACTTTGTCCAGCTACATCTTTATTTCAGTTTTCATGTCTGCTTGCTTTTTTAAAAAAGCAAGCATTCTGATGTGGGTAACACATATCTGACACACTGCTGCAGGGATTCTTGCTGTTACTAATCTTAAATGATCCTTACTAGGGAAAATAAATGCTGTTATCATGAGTGTGATTCCCAGTTTGAATTTTTTCTTCCAAAATCTAATGATTCTTATACCAGAGCAAATGTTGAGGAAACGGAGGATAATAAACCAGTTTATTTAGGATTCTGGAAAAGCAGAATCACTAAAGAAAAAAGGTTTTAAGGAATGGAAAGAAGAGGGATTGGGTGTCCCAGCTATTGAAGCATGAATGCACCAGTCATTTCTACATTGGTTTGAATACAAATATGTTTATTTTAGGTCAGGGGAAAGAGTAAAAACAGACTTGAGATAATTGTGGGTGCCAAAGAAAGGAAGGGGGGAAATGCTATAACGGATCAAACCAAATTATCAATGCTTGTTTAACAGTGTGGGAGAAATTTAAAAACTAATTAGCGCTGGATATATTCCTAGTAGCATCTGTATTATCAGATGAAAGATTCGACCATGAGGTCAAATTAGCTAATTTTTTTAAAGTGGAAGAAATGAGGTTTAAATACCTGGTGGAGAATCCCAAATACAAAGGCATGAACAAGCAGTAAGTGTCAGTTTCTACAGATAAGAACCTACTTGAATAAGAAAGAACAAGGATACAATAAAAATAGAGAACACACTGGCTTTGAAAACCTAGTAGAGAAAATGGAGAGGGGAAAATACAGTGGTACCTCGGGTTAAGAACTTAATTTGTTCTGGAGGTCCATTCTTAACCTGAAACTGTTCTTAACCTGAAGCACCACTTTAGCTTCGTTCTCCCCCCACCCTTCAAAATATAGTCCAGCCCCCCACAAGGTTTGAGGAACAGTGGACCAGCCATCTGCTGAAAAAGTTTGCCGACCCCTGGTCTTGGGAGACCACTTAAATCCCTTTTCTGCCTCGTCCTACCCTCCTATCAAAGTTGGCCTGGGGTCAAGTGGGGGAAAATCTGACCATGGGGGGCAGGGAGAGGCAGCCCCCCATCAATAAAAATACATAGCAAGCAGGTTCTGACCCCCCCTCTAACAAAAGGCCTCTTCCCCCCAACAAAAATCCTGACTACACCCATGGATCTGGCCCACCAAACTCAAAAGCTTCCCTTCCCCTGGTCTAGGTAATCTGGTGATACTTGTTCACCCCTGGGTGGCAGGATCCTGCTGTGTTCAATGGGGCTTATTCCTAGGTTAACGTACATATGACTGCAATCTAAGGCTACTTCTGAATGAGATCTTTTCCTTTTCAGATATCCCTGTTGGTGGGGGCCAGGTACTATCTTTTTTCTCATATTCATTAATGGCCATGGTATGTATGCAATGGCTCCTAAACCTGCTCCTTGTCCCTTGTGAACCCAGCTACGCTAGGGTTGAAGAGTTGGCAGGGACCATGGAGATCAACCTTTGAGACAACCTTTGAGATCAGGATTATAGGCAGTATTTGGTGGAATAAATTTATGAGCAGAGCAACTTCCACTTCTGCAATGGGACTTTCCTTCCTCTCTTCCAACCCTGCACTGTCCCTGAATCTGGGTTTGGGGGAACCCGTACAAAGGATTTAGGCAGATCACAGGGGGAAGAGAGGGAGGAAAGTCCCATTGTGGTCCACTCATGCAATTATTTAATTGAATATCACCCTATGTCTGCATGTCGAGTTGCTGTTAAAAGCACAGCTACAGTGGCCGCTTGAGAAAACTACTTGGGCAGAAGGTGGAATCTTTTAAAATCATAGGCCACCCACAACCAGTAGCATTTGGTGGGGGGAGGCACTTAGCATATCTCCCAACACTGACATCACTGTGGCTTACAAGAAGGTAGAGGAGGAAGGAGGTGAGGTTGATGTGGTGTGAACACACAGGCAAGAGCACCAGTTTGGCTACACCGGTGTGTTTGCACTGTGCCAACCTTACTCAACCCTGCAAGCACCAGCCATGTCAGTAGTGGGAGGTCATGTAAGTGCCAGGGCCTTACCCTGCCAACAGTGCTAGCTGCAACCCAACATGGAAACCCTATGCATAATCCTACTAAATCTAGGTGGTTTAATAGCAGTATTAGGCTAGCAAGATCTTGTGAGATCTTCCTGAAATCTCACAAGATCTCATGAGCTCTGTAAGATCTTGCAAGAGCTCAGTGAGATCTCACAAGATCTCACCAGAATCTGCCATTGCTGCTGCCAGGCACCGCTGCACAATCCAGGTAAGGGAGGCTTGGGCAGTGGTGAAATTCTCAGTGTGCTGGTCCTGGGGGCTGACCGAGAGGCGAGGTCCGAGTCCAGTCCGAGGTCGATGGTGTGGTATGGAGACTGTCCATCAAAGCTGTAGCTGGGTCCAAGGTGGGGAGTTGGGTGGGGTCAGGAACTCTGGCAGAAGAGCAGGACAGGAACAGGCTAGCAACAACATTGCTTCCGCAACCTGGGACTGGGGCTGACTGGCTTTTATCTGCCCCGAGGCATAGGGCAGCCCCGATCCACAGGTGACTCGCCTCTCCTGGCCTGGAGGTGAGCACCCCTCCTGTAGGAACTTAGTTCCCTCCATCTCTCTGCCCTGAGCCTCTGCAGCTCAGGAGGGGCTGGAGGGTTACCAGGCCCAGAGGCAACCTCCTCTTCCCCTGACGGGGCTGAGAGTGGAGCACCTGCAGGCAATGGGTCCTCCATCACCTCAGGGGCCAGAGCAGACTCAGCTGGTGCCTGCACCTGAGGATCCAGCACAGGTGAGGACCCTTCAGGCTCAGGCCCCAGCTGGTTCTGGAGGCGGGGACTCCTGTGCAGGCTGGGATTCCTCAGGTTCAGCCTCTGAGTCCGAATCCCAGACCATCACATTCAGCGTGTTGTACGCTGAAAGAAAATTATATGAAAATGATGTACCGGTAGTATTTGACTCTTAGTAAGCTTGCAAAAATGTATAAGACAAGTGCAAATATCTGCTGGAAATGTAAGCAAAAGGAAGGCACCTTTTGTGGTGGACCTGTAAGTTTCTAAAAGCATTATGGGAAATGATATACATATGTTGACAGAATATGCACAACTTGCAGACTTAACATAAAGAATAAGAGAACAAGAAAAACATACCTTTAAAGAAGATTGGAAAACGTTTATTGAATATATGGGGGGAAATAATTGTGTACAACTGCAAACACTGGCAGCATTAAGATAAACAGTGTAAATAAGTTTTGAAGGACGCAATAATGGTATAGTTTTTGTAAAATATGTAGGGATTTATGATATGTAAAATGAACCATGGAAAGAAGAAGGGAAGTCATTGATATTTTAAAGATGTAAAATGAGTATTTTAAATTGCAAAACAGAAAATTTAATAAAAATTATATATAAACAAAAAATATTGGTAGGGCTCTGCTGTACCTTACCCTAGTGACCAACCTCCAACGGATTAGAAGTTGAAATAGTGCAGAGAGGGTGATAGCTTGACAAGGACACTTTGGAAACAGAGTTTTCTCCTAAAAAGTTTAAATCTTGGACAACTCTCCTAAAAGGAACTAAAGCATTTTGTGGCATCTTAAAGACTAACAAATTTATTATGACATTTGCTGATCTTAAGGTACTACAAGACCCTTGGTTTTGCTGCAACAGCCTAGCACATGGATACCCTTTTGGTCTTGTGACACCACCTTCAAGATTAGCACATTCCTTGTGTTGGCCCCTCCGCTCCCAATCCTAAATGTGTTTATTTATATTAATATATACAGACATGCACAGGGGCAGGACATGGGAATGTATCAGATGAAAACTCTAAGGGCAGCTACTAGGATTGTAAACTTGAATGACAGGAAAAGCTGAATGTATAGGGAATTTTATATCGAAAGTACATTCTCCATCAGATGTGCTAAAATTTGAGTTGGTTGCACAATACTGGGCCCCTATATAAGAAAGTTACGATTTCAAGACCAAGAGCATTTCACTATGCATGGTTTTCTAAATATTCTCTGGTGTTTTGAAAGGATCTATAACCTCATTATTACATGAGGTAACAGCCCTGAGATCTGTGAACCACCCTGAGACCTCTGGGTATAGGGCAGTATATAAATTCAATAAATAATTATATAATGATGATGATGAAGAAGAAGAAGCAGTAGAAGAGCTACAAAGTGGATGGCATAGTGGTTCACATGAAGATGCTTTAAGTTTCTGTCATGAAGAGGAAAAGTTGTTAGTTGAACAGCAATGGAAATAAGGCATATGGGAGAGCTATAGAAGAAAATAAACAGAAGCTGTACTCTGTAATATCATGTTTATAGCTTTCTGTTTGGTGAAACCTGCCTTTGGTTGCCTTATTAATAAATTTAAAATAATATCAACCAATGTGTATTCTGGGTTACATGACTGTTGATTGTGTTAAGAAAAGTACCACAGGTAACAGGATAGACCTTTTAAACACACACACACACACACACACACACACACACATATATGTAAAATTGGTTTCCCTCCCAGAATGTCCAAACCTAGTTACGTGATACTATATAACTTATAACATGCAAATAACAATAAACAGAAACAATTGAGTGTCCATAAAGAAAAGCTGAAGACCTGTCCCAAGGAGAAATCTATAAGAGAATTTTTTTACTGTTTTAGCCAAGACCCTTAAAGACTCCCGTTTTAATGTAAAGAACAAACTGCTTTGTATTATATTTTCCTTCATGTTTCAGGCAGACGACTTTAACAATAAATTTAAAAAAAATCAGCCTTTGGATTTTTACATTTGATTCATAGCCCTAAAGGATTGTAGAAAGGACACTGTCTTTCTAGCAGGTGCCCAGGCCATTTTGGCACCTGAGGCGAACCATAAAATGGCGTCCTCCCAGGACGGAAAAAGGGATAGGTGAAGATCTACATTGGGAACGAGGAGGGAACAAAGATCTGCAAAGGGGACAAACAAAGGGGCAGACCAGCTATTTGCCAAAAGGCCCCATAGAAGCATTTGGCAGAGGGGCTGCCAAGGAGACGGCAGATCTGGGACTCGGCTACCCAGCTGCGAATAAAACGTTTTAAATGTGTTGTAAAGTGCAATACGCAAATGTGTCACCAAGACGGTGACAGCAAGCTAGGCAATATTCAACGTATTTTTCAAAACGTTTAAAAATAAAGCATTTCCACAGCGTTTTTTATGTGTGTGTAGATTCCATCATGGCGGCCCGGTGCTGCTTTCCAGCACCTTCCCTTTACTGTTCCAAGGCTGGATAAAGCCATACAAAATAAAATAAAAGTATTAGGAGGTAATTTGCCAGGGCCCACCCTCCCTCTCAATGTTGACTGCCTAGGGGCTTCCACAGGGTTGAATCCTGCACTGGCAATTTCTTGAGACCTTAAATCCTGACACCTGCAATTCCCACAAGGCCCCGCTATTCTGTGTCTTTCTTTTTTAAAAAACAACAACTTTATTTCAGATCTGAAGTTTACAGCATGCTATTCTTTGCAGAACTACTTGAAAATGATTTATAGATGGTCTTTAACTCCGAGTAGGCTTGCTAAGATGTACAGTATAAGACTGAATCAGATAAGTGTTGGCGATGCAATGAGGCTGAGGAATATTCTTTCATGTGGTGGGGACCTGTAAAAGAGTATTGGAAAATAATCCATAATGAATTGGGGGGGGGGGAGAGTTTAAAAGCACTTTTCAAAATAAATAAATAGCCCGTCCTTTTTGTTGGGGATAATTCAGATGGAAATTCCCAGGTGTTAAAAAGGGTAATTTATGTATGCCACTACGGCGCCTGTGTTTTGTTGGCCCCAAAATGGAAAAGGAGCGAGGTCCCAACCAAAGAATGGCAACTTAAACTGATGGAATATGCACAGCTTGCAGACTTAACATATAAGAGAACAAGAACATATGTATAAAGACTGGAAAATGTTTATTGCAGTGGCGTAGCGTGGGGGGTGCAGGGGGGGCCGGACGCACCGGGCACAACATCTGGGGTTAGGGCAAATCCATGGGTTAGGGGGCGCAAATCCACGGGTTAGGGGGCGCAAATTACTTGCCTTGCCCCGGGTGCTGACAACCCACGCTACGCCACTGTTTTATTGCATATATGGGGGGGAGTGTGTACACTTGAAAATGTGGGCAACACTAAGATAAATTCAACAGTGTAAGTTTTGATGGATGCAATAATGGAATACTGAAAGCTTTAAATATTTAAAATATGCAGGGATTTATGTTATGCAAAATGGACCGTGGAAAGGGAAGGGGAGTCACTGGTGTTTTGAAGTTGTTTAAATGAATATTCTAAATTGCAAAACAGACAATTTAATACCAATTATATATTAAAGAAAATAAAGTTTTATTTCATATGTTTCTGTTGTGAACCGCCTTGGGATCTTCGGAGGAAGGGGCGGCAGGCGACCCCTCCTCCATCCCTCGCTTCTCCTCAGCGCCGTGTTAGGGCGCGAGGGCCGCGCTCGGCCGCCACGACCACCTGAGGCGGTTCCGGGCCTCCAGGCTTGGAAGCGCCAAGGCGGGAATGGAGGGGAGGCGTCGCGAGCGCAGACGCCTTCGCCGCCCCCTTGCAAGGCCCGGCCTCGGCCAGAGGACGTCGCCCTCTCCCTGAAGGCGGCCTTGAAGGAGGAGGAGCCGCCGCCGCCACAGCAGCAGCAGCAGCAGAAGAGGCAGCAGCGGCCGCCGCCAGAGGCCGGGATTGTTTCCTGGGGAAAGCGCAGCAGGCTGGGAAAGCGTTTCCGGAAGGCAGGCGGACGGGCAGGCAGGCAGGCAGGCTGCATCCCGCAGCTGGGCTCCGAAGAGCGGCGGGGACCGGCCGGAGGAGGAGCAGCCGCGGCCGAGCGGGTAAGTCTGGGCGGGCGACTCCTCGCCCCTTTCCGCGCGGCGCTTCGCCCTCCGGAGGCGGCGGGGAGACGCAGGGAGGAGGCGCATCTTGCCCCTGCCAGCTGCCACATCTGCAGCAGCGCGGCTGGATCGGGAAGGCGGCGGACGGGGGCGGAGGGTCCGGCAAGAGGCGGCTCGGGGGGCGGCGTTGGGCACGGACCCCCGGCTCGCCCCGGGGTCCAGGAGAAGTTGCGGGCACGAAATGCCTTCCGTGCGTTGCTGCTGCTTCTGCAGCCGATCTCGAGTTGCAAGGAGCAAACTCCGGTGTGTGCCTGCGCGGGGGTGGGGAAGGGCACCCCCCCAATCCGCATTGGATTCCGAATGCGGGATCCGCATTGGACTCGGGATATTTCTGGGCGGCGGTGCCTGCGGATGGTGGGATCGGCGGCAAAGGAAAAGTCGAGGGAGGGGAATGGGGGGCGAGCTGGGCAGGAAGGGAAATGCAAAAAAATAAATGCAAGGGAAGGGAGGCGAAGGCGAGGGCCGGAGGTGGGGGGCTGCCTGGGGTCGTCTTTGTGCATGGAGCTGCTCCACGCCCTGGTTTGGCCCTTGCTGCGTGTCCCTTGCTGGCATCCCCGGCCCCGTCCTTCCCCCAACCTTTTGCCAGGCTGCGGTGCCTGCGTCCTCCCAGGGCCTAAGGAAGCCGAGTGCTGCACTCGCCGTGGGCATGCACATTGTCTCCGTTATGCGCTATGAGCATTGCTCTTCTCTCGGATGCTTCGGTGGGGTCTCCTCCTTTCCTCCGGGGACTGTGATGCCGCATCCTTAGGGACACCCCGAGGGAGACGCGTGGTTGCGATGCGATGAGCTGTCAGAGGATCTGATGCATATCCGATGCAAGGCTGTAGGGAGCCTGCTTCTGAGGACATGGGTTTGGATGAACAGATGAGGTGGTGGAGGCAGGCGACCTTCATTGCTGGAGCCCCCATATACTGGCTCCTTCCCCTCCCCTTTTTATAATTTTTTTATACATTACTACAGTTATTCAACAAACATTCTGACATTTCAAACTTCAGCTCCCTTCCCCCTCTTTCTGCGGTTCTTTGCATTTATTTTCATCATTTCCTGCATCCTCCAAATTATATTAACATATTCTTTAGTTCTTCTATTGTCATATCTATTTCATATACATTTTTGAAACTGCAGGTTTTTACAATAATCAATAAAACACTTCCATTCCTTTCTAAAGAGTTTATTGTCTTGAATTTTCTGGTAAGTTTTGCCATTTCTGCATACTCCATTAATTTTTGTAGCCATTCTTCTCTTGTCGGGACTTCTTTCCATATTTGGGCAAATAACATCATTGCAGCTGTAGTTGCATACATAAATAAATTTCTGTGCTGCTTTGGTAGTTCTGATTCCATAATTCCCATGAGAAAAGCTTCTGGTTTCTTTTTACAAACGTTATCTTAAACATATTTTTCAATTCATTATATATTATTTCCCAGTAAGCTTTAACCTTACCACAAGACCACCACATATGAAAAAGGTACCTTCTTTTTCTTTACATTTCCAGCACTTACTCAATTTTGATTTATACATTTTTGCCAGTCTGCTAGGTGTTAGGTACCATCTACAGAACATTTTCATGTAATTTTCTCTTAAACCATAACATACTGTAAATGTTATATCCATATTCCTTCCCTTCCCTTTTTAATCAAACTTTGCATATAAAACTTTGCAGGGCCAAGTGCAGTATCATCTATACACAATTCTAGACGTAAAAAATTAGCATATGCAAATTTGTGCCATAAGCCTGCACCTTTAAGTACCTGGTTGAAGCAGTGCCTCTGTTGTGTGAAGGAACGAAAGATGGCTAATTTTCAAATAAGGGGAAGCAGAATGCCATTGTTGCGTAGGTAAAGTCCTGGTAGTTTGTTGGTTTTCCAGGCACTTTTAATTCCTTTCTCCAAGGTACAGAAAATGCAAAGGCATTTTCCATAAATGATCCATAAAGTGAAAATCCCCAAATCCACAGTCGGACAACACTTTTGTTAAGACTAGCGAAACATTTTGGTTGGTCCCAATAAAGGAATTGCCCTACTGTGGTTCTTGGAACCCCTTTGACATGCCAGAGGATTGTGGCTATGTAGAGTGAGATTTAAACAGCAAGGCAGCTGTGGAAGGAAGTGACTTCTAGAAGATGTTGTAGGCGTCCCCCGCTTTATTTAAAAGATCACAGATCTAGAACTGTAGTCAAGGTTGTTTCCAGATTTCATTCATCAGGAAAGAGAAAGGAAAAGGTCTCTGGCATACGTTCAGTCAATATTCTACCAGAATGTTGAGTAAACAAGCATTGGACTTCTTCAGTGTTCAGACAATTAATGCAAAGGTATCAGTTGAAAGAGAAACATGCAGGATTGTAGCATTTTTAGTAATAACAAAAAAAACTTGAAACAAAGTTATATTTCAGTGAGTGTTGCTTTTTTTGAATTGATTTATAATGCCTTTCCCCACTCCACTTTTTTAGGCCTGACCACTAGTGTAACATTTGGAGGGGGGGGGGAGTCTTTGTCAATTGAGAGACATGTTTTGTGGCGTCTGGGGCAGATGAAGGCATTCGGTTGTACCGCTGCGGATGAACCATGGCTTTTCTTCTCTCTGCCCTCCTCCCATATTTAAATCCCGTCTTTAAAAAATGATAAAAATTATATTTACCGTATTTAAAAATGGTAAAAATAATGGCATATAAAAATAAATTATGGCATATTTTTAAATGGTAAAAATTATGTGCTAGACTTCATTATTAGTTAATTGAGCCATGTAAGTGGGTTGGTTTCTTCTAGGCCTTGAATCATGCATGTGGCTTCAGAATGTTTTATCAGCTTATTGTTGTTTAATGAGATATTTAAAATAATGTAATGAAAAGGCATGTTTGAAATCTAATACACATTGATGTGCCTGATGGGATACACTTTAGAGCTTTAATTTAAGCCTGTGGAACGATGGGAACTTGCTAATTAAAAAGCAGATTGTTTTCACTTTAGCGCCATAGCCAGCAATGTGGCTTCATAATAGACATATTCAAACTGGAAATAAATTTGCATCATGAATTGGAACTTAAGATTCTTTCTTCTGTTTTCTAAATTTTGAGGTGCTTCATTACCTTTTAATTTTTACCTGTGCTAAGGAATATTGGCTTTGCTGAGTTCACTTATATTGAATGGTCAGGTTCTGGTGGATGACAAATCTAATTTAGAGCTGAATATTATTTGTTTTATCTTGAAATGTAACATCATGGTGTATTGCCTAAATCTGTGGTGGCTTAGTTTGATCATGTTAGAATTTGCTACGTGTGCAGTGCAATCCTAAGCATATTTTCTCAGAAATAAGTCGGGCTGTGTTCAATGGGAGATACTGTCAGATTTTGTTGTTGTTGTTTAGTCGTGTCCGACTCTTCGTGACCCCATGGACCAGAGCACGCCAGGCACCTCTGTAACTTTTATATGCCTGTTGTCTTTGTCCATGGAGTTTTCTTGGCAAGGATACTGGAGTGGCTTGCCGGTTCCTCCTCCAGGTGGATCACGTTTGGTCGAAACTCTCCACTATGACCTGTTCATCTTGTGTGCCCTGCTCGGCGTAGTTCATAGCTTCTCTGAGTTCTTCAAGCCCCTTCGCCACGGCAAGGCAGTGATCCATGAAGGGGACTGTCAGATACATATGCAGAGAATTGCAGTCTAAAATGCTGTTTGCTACACATGCCAGGGACAAACATTTGGGTTGCAACCCCCTATGTGCTTACCTAGAAGTAAGTCTCTGCGTAGAAACAGATAGGATTGCACTGTAATCAAACTTCTCTCTGAACAATTTTACATGACTTCATTGTGTGGTTTTCTCTTTTCTCTTCCCCCATCAGTACTCGAATCTGCTTTCTCCTCAGCATTTCTGTTTGTCTCAACTGTACTGCCTTTGCAACTTCTTTTCTCCTGCTGCTGTCACAACTCAGCCTTGGCCACTTGACAAGTCTTGGTATCGTTGCTGCTTCACTCCCTCCACTGATCTTGAAACTGGACATTTATCAGGACCCGTGTTCTGCTGTGTTGTCCATTTCCAAGACAGTGTTAATGTATTTTATTTTATTTGTATTTTATCTTATTAAGATAGTTGCCTTGTTTGTCCTAGGCAGTATTCTGAAGATATATAGGAAGTCAATGGACTGTCTGAGATGTTTGAGTACAGTAGGACTTAGTAAGTGTGCTTAAGATTTCATCTTCTGTTTAATAATGCTGACTTGTCATTGTAATAGTCCGTTAAAATTCTTCGTGGCTCATTGGCAGTTGTCTTAGATTTGTTAATTCCCAGATCTGGAATACATGCTTGACAGTAAGTGGGGTCAACTCAGGACATCTTTGCACTAGAGCAAGCTTTTCAAAACTAGTTTCTTCCAGAAGTTGTTGACTGCATCTCCCCATAACCGCAGACCATTGACTACACTGGTTGGGATGGATGGAGGTAGGCGGGCAGTGGATTGAGGAAGACTGCACTAGAGGTCTAAATTTGTATTGTGCAGCAACCTACTGAATTCAGCAGAATTTACTTCTGTGCATTTGCTGCTGTCCAGATGTCCCCTGGAATTCAGCAGCTGAATTCCAGACTCATTTACTTGGAATAAGAGGGTGCTATGGTGTTATGAAAACTTTTGAACAAGTGTAATGAGTTCCTGAGTAATAGATTCCTAAAGGGAAGCCATGGTAGTTTGTTGAGCTTCTGACCACCCCTCTGCTAGAACAGAGCTAGGGATGGAGCAACTTGTTCCAAAGTTGTGATATCCCACTGCCTTGCAATGCAGTTGGTACCTGGGCGCCTGCTCCTCATGTTGTGTGTTCATAGCTCAGTTCATTATTGATGGTCGAGTTGACTTTCACTTCTTAGCTGATCTTTCCTTCCATAAAATGTGATATTTTGCAGGCATCTTGTGTTCTGCATTTCTCACATGGCATGTAAGGGGCTACTTAAAATTG